CCGCTATATATAGCCGGGCGCCCCCTCCTACTCCTGCGGGGGGCCGTTCGCGTTCGCCTGGGCGCCCGGGGCGCTGTGGCGCTCGCGGCCGGTCGCAGGCCGCCTGCCAATCAGAACTGGGGGAGGGGAGGCGGCCGGGGACGAGCGCCGCGAGTGCCACCTGGAGGGTCCGGGCCCCCACCCCTGGCTTCTCCCGGCTCACCGACCTGTCCGCCCCGCCCCTCTCATCGCCTCCGCTCCTGCCTCCAGCCGAAGTTCTGCCTCTCCCACTTTGTCCCTGCCTGTCCCGTCTCCCGCTGCTAGAGCGGCCCGGTGCCGCCCTCGCGGGCTCCCTCAGCTCCGTGGGGCCGCTCCTTAGGCCCTGCCTCTCAGGGGCTCCCAGGAGCCTGGGGCTTTTTTGGGAGCCATGTGCCCGGCCTGGGAACGACAGGTGGGAAAGGGCGGTAAGCCGCAGGAGGGCAGGCGGGGAAGAGCCCGGCGCTGCGGGCTGCAGGCAGGCAAGGCTCTGGGCCCTGCCCTCTGCCCTCTGCCCTCTGCCCTCTGTCCTCTGGTGGATTCCGGGACGGAGTCTGTGTCCCAGGGGGAGGCGTCACCTGAGCAGGGGCCGTTGGGTGTTTGGCGCTAAGGGAAGGCAGGTGGGGTGCATCCAGGTCAGGCCACCGCGTCCACACCCCCTACCCATACCCGGCTCCACGCAAGGACAGGTGGCAAGGTGCAGGGCCATAGGGGACATTCACTGCCTCCTTCCCAGGGACAGTCAAGTGCCTTAGCCAGAGCTGCCGACCTAGTGGGAACCCAGGCCAGGGCGCAGGAAGGCTCCCCTCCCCCACCCGGTATCCTCATCCCCACTGGGACCGTAATGGCCCGATGGGGGCGGGACTGGCCAGAGGCCCCGCTAGGTGCTGGCTCACCTAGGTGTGAAAATCCTGTTCTCCGTGGTCCCTGAGGAGCCTCCCAGCAGTCCCGCCCACCCACAGCTACAGGGGGCTTGGAGCCCACCCCGCTCTGCTGCCATGACACCTCTGACCAGAGACATCCCCAGGCCACCTCGGCCTCCCTCATCTCCCACCACATTCCTGCCCGAGGAGCCCTTGGACGGGACCTCTGCACCCTGGACGGGACTGGAGGTTTGAGATATGTGTCCTAGGGCCAGAGAGCAGATGCCTCACGGGTCTCCAGGCTCCTCCACGAGGCTCTTTGCCCCGCTCTCTGGGCCTGCGGCCCGCCTGACCAGAGCTCGCCCAGGCCAGGGCTGTCCTGGGCTGTTGGCTCACGGCTGCGGCTGGGCACCTGCTTCCCCCGTCAGGTGGGCCTGTGGCTCTGACGCCAAGAAGACGATTCTGGCCGGGATTCAAACGCCAGAGGCCTGGGACTCGCCCCGGCCCTGCCCATCGCTGCCCTCTGTGTGGCCCTGGCAAGTCCTTTCCGTCTCAGTGCGAAGGGGTCACTGACTCCCATTTGCAAAACAGCATGAAAGGTGGGCTCCCCTACATCAGTCCAAGTCCAGGTGGGCACCTCCTCGGTGGAGGGGGACCCAGGCCCTCTGATGTCTTCCCCGGCTCCGGGCCGAATGTGGGCCTCCCTCCCCAGGATGCCCACAGGGACCTCCCTCCCTGTCTCTCCTGTTTGCTGGTGAGTTCGAGGAAGGACCCCGGCAGCTGGTCGTCTCCCAGAACTCCCACCCACCGCATACAGTAGGTGCTCTTAGCGACTGTCCTTGGAAGGGCTGACAGCCAGCAGGGGTGTTAGGAGCCGAGAATTTTCAGGCACACGGACCTGAGGCCCGGCTCCCACCTCATCGTGACTCACCGCAGTCCCTGCGCCCATCCTGACGTCCGCAGCCCTCGGAGCCCTCACCTGCCCTACGGAGCCAGCGGAAGCACCGTGAGGGCCGATCCTGCACTCGCAGGTGAAGGATGCGACAGGGAGCTCCCAGGGCTTCTGACCCCATCTCCCGGCCGCCCCCTGGCCCCTGGGCGCCCACACGCTTCCTTGGCACAGCAGCCACACTCATCTCTTTCCTTCCCTCGAATACCAGCCCCCCGGGGGACCTCCCGCGTGCCCCGCCCCCAAGGGCAGCCTCCTGGCACCCTTCCGTCCACAAACCTTAAGGGACCTTGTTCACTTACTTGCTGCCCCTCCAGTCCATGAGACTGTCACCTCCATGGAGCGAGCTTGGGTCTGTCTGGTTCCCAGCGGGGTCCCCGTGCCTCCAGAGGTGCCTGGCACACAGGGGCGCTCAGCTGGTGTTTGTGAGCCATGGCTGCCTGGGTAAGTGCAGCTCGCAGCCCCTCAGCCTGCAGACCCTCAGATTCAAGGTGCAGTGCCAGCGCCCCCCACACTGTGCCCGGGGCTTCCCCGTCCGGCTGTCCCCTCCCCCAACCAAAAGCTCCTCACTGGCTTTCGGTTTGTTTTGTTTTTTCCTTTTGTTTGAAAAGAATAGTTGGACCAAGGTGACTAATTTTCCCCGCTCCCTCGAGGCCCTATGCACCCCGGGGAGCTCAGTTTACCAGGAATCTGGGGTGCGAAGAAGCCCCCAGGGCTGCACGGAGGGCCTGGGCTCTAGTCTCCCGCTGCGGGTTCACGGTCAGGCTCCATCCCTGTGAGCTGCATGATGGGAGGCTGTTTCACTCCGATCACGCTCAGTTTCTCCATCTATAAAATGGGCACAACAGCGACTGCTTTTAGGAGTCATTAACCCTAACACAAGCCCTAGGGAGGTGGTCCAGACAAGGCCCGGCTAAGAGATGCTGGGCGTTTGTGACATAAACAAACCCGTGTTTTCATCAGATGACTGAGGAGAGGGGACAAAGTTTCAGACTGAAGCAGGCCAGTCCCGGGGTCTGCACGCCCTCTCGATGGTGACCTTTTTTAACCTACAAAGAAAATCACACACAAATGGTTTCTTCTCCCGTAAAGGAGTGACAGGACTTCTCAGAACTGCCAGCCCAGCTGTTACGAACTTATGTGGCTTCATAGTAATAATAATAATAAAAAAGTGCTGCATAGAAATTCAATTGTAGTCCCCAGGGCGGATGGGCGGGAGGAGCCTGGGGCAGCTTCCCATGAGGAAACTTTGCAAATGCCTGAACTGTCTGCTTTACTCAACTTCCTTTTCTTGGCCTCCAGAGAAGATACAGTAGCAGCTTTCTGCAAAGTCAAGGCCATTGGTCTAGACCCATCTGCACAGAGCCGAAACACCGTAAAGTGTTTTGTTTTGTTTTTTTTTCTTTCCACTTTTCTTCAGAACGCCCGAAGAAAGGAAGAGATTCAGCTAATTTTTTGGTAGCTTTTTAAAAATTGTGGTAAAATACACATAACATACTTTTTGTCATTTAACCGTTTTTAAGTATTTGATTCGGGGCACTAGCTTGTTATGTGGTGGTGCGGCCGTCACCACCTCCATCCCCAGGACGTCTCCGTCTTCCCAAACGGACCCTCCGTCCCCATTACACACTCACTCTCGCCCCCTCCCCCACCATTCCGCTTTCTGTCTCTGTGACTTGACTTTTCCAGATGGTCACAGAAGTAGAATCACACAGTATTTGTCCTTTGTGATTGGATTATTTCACTCGGCACGATGTCCTCAAGGTGCATCCATGTTGTCACGATTCTTTCCTTTTGGGGGCTGAGTGATGTTGCACATTTGGCTTGCCTGCCATCCGTCGGTGGGCGCTCGGGCCGCTGTCCCCCCTTGGCCGTCGTGAAAATGCTGCTCCGAGCATGCGGGGCACAAACCCCTTCAAGACCCTGCTTCCAGCTCTTGGCGGTCTATACCCAGAGGTGGAATGTTGGGCTCATATGCTAAAGCTACATTTAAATTTTTCAGGAACTGCCAAACTGTTTTCCAGTTTTTTTTTTAAGTCACCTTGACCGTGAGGCAAGGAAACAGGACAGCGGGTCTTTCTTGGCCCACGGAGGTGTCCTGGGTGGACAGAAGGCTGCCCGGAGGGGGCTCTGCCCACCTGATTGCCCCCCCTCTGATTACTCTTCCCGTTTCTCTTTTGCCTGGAAACTGACCCAGCCCGGTGCGATTTCAGAGGCAGGGGTGTTTTTTCAGTCAATTCAGGGGTTCACCACGTGGAGGCACGGGTATGTGGACCTCTGCACCTCTTAGATACTCAAGCCCAGGAGAACTGGAGAGAATATGTGCCTCAGTTTCCCCATCTGTAAATGGAGAACCCAGAGTTCTCACTTCGGAGGGCACCTGGGGAATTCATCCAGATGTTTGGCGCCTAGACAGCTGGGCACACACCGACCAGCACCGACGCGGCCGCTGTTCTCTTGGGAGCAGTGGTGCCCAGCCTGAGCTGGGGGAGCCGGGCCGGGCACACGTCCCAGCCCTGCCTCACTGGCCGTGTGACCGCAGGCTGGGGGTCAGCCCCTCAGTGCCCAGTATCTATGTTCGCGCTCTGTGCAGAGAATTAGAATTGGACGTGTGCAGTGCTGGTGGGCTATCTGCAACTGTGACCCATCGGGGACCGCCAGCCCCTCTCCCCAGGCGGGCGGGGCCGGGCTTCCTGCGGGGCCGGGCTCTGCAGGGCTGATCCCTGGCTGCCCTGTTCAGCCCGGGTAGGTGGGGCCCTGCTTATCAGCACCGTTTCACGGAAGAATTAACCAGCTCGGCCCCAGCGGCTCACTCAAGGTCACAGAGCCAGAACTCAAACCCAGAGCCGGACGCCACATCCGGGCTCCCGGCCGCACTGCTCCCTGCCTCAGTTTCCCCTTCGGTGAAAAGGGAGTTCCTGGGCTCCTGGGGATGTTAGGGATCTGAACCCAACTGTGTGGGCGAAACTCTTCTGTTCGAATAAAACCGAGCAAAAACCGCAGGGGGGGCGAGGGGAGGCCCTGGGTTCTCTGAGAGGGTGGGTTCCCACAGCCAGACCGCAGCGCCCAGGCTGAGAGGCAGAAGCGCCGGCCTGGCCTGTCTTCTCCCTGCAGAGGCCGGTGGACACTCGGCTGGGCCTCTCTGCCTTCTGCCCCGGGCTTCCAGCCCCTCCCTGGGAGAGGCACTGCCGAGGGCTCCAGAGGTGGGGGACCCTGGGCAGGTGTCTGCTATGGCACCTGGACAGGGGCATTCTATTGAGGCCGGGCATTTTCTCACTAGGGTGGGAGGTGGCTCCGAGGGTCTCTGGCAAAAACGAGCCTCCAGCTCTGAGGCTCCCTCCATCTCGTTCACACAGGGGTCAGGTCTCCTCTGACCTTTGTGGTGTCACCTGCACAAGACGCTTCAGTCTGTTTAGGGACCACAGGAGTGTACCCCTGAAGGAACGGATAACCTCCCCCTTGCAAATCTGGATATATATTGACCTCGGTGGGGAGGGGCCAGGGTGTCTCAGGCCCCACTCAGGTTGGGCAGCCTGCCCACAGTGGCCTCTTCAGCCCAGGCTGCTTTCCTTCACAGGTGACAGGTGTCCACCAGGGACCCCAGCTCCTTTTCTGTTCCAGCCCACCGTCCTCAGGGCCAGCTTTGTTCGCATGGGCATGAACTCGTGCTTCTTTGAGTTGAAATCCAAAATTTATCCTAAATCGTTACAAGAACATAATCTCCAGGGTACTTTAAATATTACTATTTTAAAATAAAATTCTTCCGTTACTCTTTTAAATGTATCCAATGACATCTAAAAAACCGAAATGTTTCGATGTCTACCATCTTTTATTTTTTTTAAAAAATGCCACGAATGAGCTTTACTCCAATCTCCCCAAATAATAAATCCTAGCCTTTTTTCTTTGCATTTGTATTTCCACTCTATTTCCCCCACCAATTTTACCCAAATTTAAGGTAATCTTAACCTCGGAAATATTTTTCGATCATCCTATCATAATTCTCCGGAACCAAACTATTTCTGTGAATTGAAATATTTAAAAAATAAATTTCTCGCGACAACGAGCATCCAATATTCTCGTCCCAGATTTTGTTTTCACCACAATTATCATTAACACATAGTCAATCAACATAGCACGACTATAATATCAAATAATGGACAAGTGAAAAATACAAATAAAGTTCCATTAGAAATGAATTTTTCAGCTGGGGTTTTCTCTCCCCTCGCCCCCGATTATTTCGTGATCATTATGACTAATTGCTGGAATAATATGGGATTGGCCTCAGCTTTATTCTCATATTCTATCGCCGTCGGTATGAAAACTGACAAGCCTCGTTCACAGAAACGAGGAGACAGAGTGGAAGTTACCTAAGTTACGGTGACGTCACTTAGGGATCCGAACATCTATCAAGGGGTATGTTCGAAATCACACACGAGTTATCATCCGAATGTTTTTTCCTGTTCCGTCTGCTGACATCTCACTAGATCTTTCTCAAATGTGTCGACAGCAAAGACCCAGAAGCCGCCAGGTCGGCAAAGGGTTTGTTTATCTCACGCACTTTTTCAGCTTCTGGGAAGTGGACCCAAAGGTCTTTTCACCGAAACGTGTGAAAGAGCGATTATTACGCCAGTCACTCTTTTGCTTGGAGGAAAAAGGGGTGAGCGTCGGACAATTGCTGATTCCTATATGTCCTGGGCGACGACGCCACGGCCATAAACCGCTTCTAACGCATCTTGTGTTTTACATATATTTCTGTCCGAATCCGGGAGCTACAGACTTCATTCATCCGACGGACAGAAAAC